TGCAACAGTGTCTGATAGATGCAACAGTGTCTGATAGATGCAACAGTGTCTATGAGATGCAACAATGTGTATGAGATGCAACAGTGTCTATGAAATTTAACAGTGTCTGACAGATGCAACAGTGTCTATGAGATGCAACAGTGTCTGACAGATGCAATAGTGTCTGACAGATGAAACAGTGTCTATGAGATGCAACAGTGTCTATGAGATGCAACAGTGTCTGATAGATGCAACAGTGTCTGATAGATGCAACAGTGTCTATGAGATGCAACAATGTGTATGAGATGCAACAGTGTCTATGAAATTTAACAGTGTCTGACAGATGCAACAGTGTCTATGAGATGCAACAGTGTCTGACAGATGCAACAGTGTCTATGAGATGCAACAGTGTCTATGAGATGCAACAGTGTCTATGAGATGCAACAGTGTCTGAAAGATGCAACAGTGTCTATGAGATGCAACAGTGTCTATGAGATGCAATATTATCTGTCACACATAACAATGTCTGACAGATATATCTTTCTATGATTCTAACCCTAATTACATTTTTCGTAGAAACCTATATTTAAGATTTGCAATTAACACCCTTTTTTCTCTTCCAATAATGCACAAAACCAAGATTTGACATCAGATTTAAAATCTCCATCAAGTCTGCTTTCCAAATCCGCTGTCAAAACTTGAATATCTCAATTAATTAATGATATTCAGATATTGCGAATAATCTTTAGGTAAAGAAGAAAATTTAGGTTGTAAAATCATATAAAAATGTAGTTAGAGAGCAAAAATTATGTTTGAGTGGATCTCCATGTCGTAGTGGATCTAGATGTTTGAGTGGCTTTAGATGTATGAGTGGTTTTCAATGTCAGTGTGGATCAAGATGTCTGGGAATAAAAGTAAGTCGTAGGTTAATATAAGTTTGATATTAATGTAAGTATGACTTAAAATGTAAGTCTTGGAAGAAAGTAAGTATGACTTGAAATGTAAGTCTTGGAAGAAAGTAAGTCTGACTAGAAATGTAAGTCTCGGACGAAAGTAAGTCTGACTAGAAATGTAAGTCTCAGACGAAAGTAAGTCTGACTAGAAATGTAAGTCTCGGACGAAAGTAAGTCTGACTTGAAATGGAAGTCTCGGACGAAAGTAAGTCTGACTTGAAATGTAAGTCTCGGACGAAAGTAAGTATAACTTGAAATGTAAGTTTCGGACGAAAGTAAGTCTGACTTGAAATGTAAGTCTGACTAGAAATGTAAGTCTCGGACGAAAGTAAGTCTGACTTGAAATGTAAGTCTCGGACGAAAGTAAGTCTGAATAGAAATGTAAGTCTCAGACGAAAGTAAGTCTGACATGAAATGTAAGTCTGACTTGAAATGTAAGTATAACTTGAAATGTAAGTCTGACTTGAAATGTAAGTCTCGGACGAAAGTAAGTCTGACTTGAAATGTAAGTCTCGGACGAAAGTAAGTCTGACTTGAAATTTAAGTCTGACTTGAAATGTAAGTCTCGGACGAAAGTAAGTCTGACTTGAAATGTAAGTCTCGGACGAAAGTAAGACTGACTTGAAATGAAAGTCTGACTTGAAATGTAAGTCTCGGACGAAAGTAAGTCTGAATAGAAATGTAAGTCTCAGACGAAAGTAAGTCTGACTTGAAATGTAAGTCTCGGACGAAAGTAAGTCTGACTTGAAATTTAAGTCTGACTTGAAATGTAAGTCTCGGACGAAAGTAAGTCTGACTTGAAATGTAAGTCTCGGACGAAAGTAAGACTGACTTGAAATGAAAGTCTGACTTGAAATGTAAGTCTCGGACGAAAGTAAGACAGACTTGAAATGTAAGTCTCAGACGAAAGTAAGTCTGACTTGAAATGTAAGTCTCGGACGAAAGTAAGTCTGACTTGAAATTTAAGTCTGACTTGAAATGTAAGTCTCGGACGAAAGTAAGTCTGACTTGAAATGTAAGTCTCGGACGAAAGTAAGACAGACTTGAAATGGAAGTCTGACTTGAAATGTAAGTCTCGGACGAAAGTAAGTCTGACTTGAAATGTAAGTCTCGGACGAAAGTAAGTCTGACTTGAAATGTAAGTCTCGGACGAAAGTAAGTCTGACTTGAAATGTAAGTCTGACTAGAAATGTAAGTCTCGGACGAAAGTAAGTCTGACTTGAAATGTAAGTTTCGGACGAAAGTAAGTCTGACTTGAAATGTAAGTCTGATTCTAAATGTAAGTTCTAGACTAAAGTAAGTCTGATTCTAAATATAAGTCTGATATTAAGATAAGTTTGTAACTAAAATTAAGTCTTATTCCAAAAGCAAATTTAATTGTATAATAAGTCTGGATCTAGAGTAAGCCTTAGTCTACAGCTATTCTGTGTCAAAAATAAGTCACGAACCATAGTAAGTTTCGGACTAGAGTATGTCTGTAATTCGAATCATTCATATTCTTCAATTATCCCGCCAAAAAAATTATCGTCTTTTTATCATACCATAGTTTTTATCAATCTCGTTCTACTAAAAAACCTTTATATTGGTGATTTCTTTGTTAAACCCGTATTTTTTCATGTGAATCTTATTGTATAAACTCTAAAAGTTCAATTTCCGGTCGAAAAAAACTTGAAAACAATTTGTATTCGACGAGTTAAAGAGCTCTATTTATTCTAAATTTTCCAAAAAAAATTAGATTTCGTTTTTTCGCTTCAAAAAAATGTTGTTTTAAGTTTTAAAATTTGTAATTCAAATTTTTTTGAAAGATTTACGATTTTTTAATACTGCGAATGAGTTTTATTTTACATACTCTATTGATAAATCATATTTTTGTCGAGATATAACTTTTTTTTAAAAAATTATATGCAAAGAGTGTTATAGAATTCTAGAAGGTATAGTGCATAATTTGAAGTATACTATCAAATAAAGAAATTTTTACAGTTTTTTAGTTTTATTTAGATGTACGTTATTTTAGATGGCTTCGTCGAAAACAAAGCATGTCTGTTAAGTTTATTCTTAACATGGTAAATAAAATGGCAACGAAGCCCAGTGTACTGCGTCTTATGCCGTAGTTTTTGTTATCTTCATACTCAAATACAACAAATACAAATAGATTTATTACGAAAAAACGTATAAAACAAATGATATATTTATTTCTAGACAAGTTGACGAACATGTAGCGCAGCTGTATCGCTTTAGAGAACAATTCTTCCAACACCTACTCATTCAGTGAAAGATTTAAGAAGAACTCTTACTCGACCTTAACTACCTACGCTTTGCTTGAACAATTCCCAACGAGGTTACTATAAGGTTGCAAGTCTTGTCAAAATGTAGTATGCAATACGTTGGGGAAAAATAGATATATACGAACAAACTACTACAGTCTAGCAACTAGTCTTTAAGTGTAATGTATTTTTGCTACAAAGAGCTCATAACGAAGTCAAATTTTGCAATTTGATGTCAAAACTAGCTAGTTGTTGAATCAAATAGCGTTGTGACTTTGTATACATCACGATCTTGTGGTATCAGAGCTGTACTGCTGCAGACTAATTCAACTAAACATGAGCAAGATTGGGATTTCTATTCTCTGGGGTGCGAGGCTCGTCCAAAGTTCAAGCAGCTACAGTGTTTTGGATCACCTAAAGAACTTTGGGAATTCAGTTATCCGTTACTACTCTTAAATTAAAGTAGAGCACTACAGCGAATCAATCGTAATGCCTAGTCTCTCCAGTAACAAGCTGATCTGCTATATTAACTTTAAAGCCAAATCGATTCACATTGTTGCTGGTAAGTCTGATTGCTTCAGATAGAGAGCATGAATTGCTTCTTTATCATCTAATCCCCATCCCCCTTGTTCCCGATTGGATGACATGGACAATTCATCTTTCTCTAACGAAACAAAATGACACTTTTTTGGCGGCTTATTGACTCAGAAAAATTTGAGAGTTAACGAATAATTTTGGCGCCAAAAATAATTTCTCTTAATTTATTAAATTTAATATACGCACATCCATAAGTTATGCTATTTTTTCTATTTATTTTGTTCTAAAATTCTAAATATTTTTTTTTCATAACATAAAATATGATGTCTAGTCTCATTTACATAACAACATGCCTTAGAATAGGTTTTTTATTCTTTTTGTCACTTTAAATTAAGAATAAAAAGATAATTTAAATTGAATATTTGCGATTATTCTCACTAATGCTGCTTCCTCTTTTATTAGGTAGACGACAAAAAGTTAGCCTTGGACTCCCATATCAGATTTTTGATTGGTTGCGTATATAATGAGCTGGGATTGATAGACGAAAACCCAGTGAGAAAATTTTTGACGCCTGTTTGGGTAGCACCATATGCTGTGTATTTTTTACCAACTGAATTTCCTCCATTTAATCCGCCTGCATGGCCACCACTACACCATTTATAGCCTCCGCCACCACCAGCCGAGACCATAATTCGTGAACTTGTGTCACCTTTTATGAGATAAACTGATGTCGCACCTCCACCACCTGAGCCTGCAGCATAACCTTCACCATTCGCAGAACCAAGACCACCACTGCCTCCACCACCACACCCACCTTTTTTGATTGTAAGTTTATTAAGTAGGCTGTTAGTTGCATTTTCTCCTCGACAACCAACAACAACATAAATTTTTTTATCAGAATCAAAACTTATGTTTCCTGCTGTATAGCCACCACGTCCTGCTTCAGATTCTGTGCCGCCACCTGCAGCACCCCATGATTCAATATAATATTCACCTTTGGATAGATTAATTTCATACGGGTTACAGTCTAATCTGCATGAATATTCTTGGGATCTAATATTGAATTAATATGAAGTTGTTTTATCTAAATTTGAATTCAAAAAAATATTTTTTTTACGGTTTGTAGTCAAAATAATTCAATTAAAAAATCATTAACATTATATCTTTCACTTTCAATGATATTAACATTTTTAAAAACATTACATTCTTTAACAGAGATTCTATGAAAATGATCTTTAATAGATAAACAAAAAATAATAAAATAAAATTATTCAGCTTTTGTTTCCTTTTGTTTGATTTCTTCTGGTTTCTTTGGTGTTTTAACGAACTTGAGAGCGAAGAACATCAAAATAGAGAAAACAGTTGGCAAGCAGTAAACAGATTTCCTGACATAGATGAAATTATGGACCCAAGGATAGAACCACGTCGAAGTGCAGTACAACATTGTTGTGCAAACAAAGATATCATGAATTAATATCCAGAAAATGTTCTTTGCCGGGAATTTTCTGCAGAAAACTCTGTCTGCTTCCATAATAAGGAATGATTCAGGTAACAAGAGGAAGTAGACTGGTCTGCAGCCATGCCATGCCATAGAAACAAAGAAAACAGCGAAGTTTCCGAAGGCCGATGAAAATCCTTGGGCCATAAGTCTCGCGTAGAGGTAGTTCTTGAAGAAAAGATGTGTGGTGTGGTTCCATCTTCTCATCCAGTCCTGGCAGGAACGTGAATCAAGAACTTCGAGGAGAGATAAGTTCGAAATTTCGTATTTGACGTTATCGTAGAGGTTGGAAGATGCGAGACCGAACGCGTAATACCCGGATTCGACAACCCACCATGAACAATAGTATCTTGTAACTGAAAATGCAGTTAATGCGGCAATCGCGAAACATTTGAGGACAATGTTAAGGTTTAGGTACCACTGGGACTCGTAGTTCTCCCAAACCATGTATTTCATAGTAACTGCGACGAATCCTGAGAGAAGATAAGCTTCAATGAACCTTTTCAAGGCCAAATACTTGTCTTCTGATGTGAGAGGCTCCTTGCGGTTGCCAATATTGAGCATGTAGTCGAATACCTTGAATTCGATGAAAGGATTTGTAAATCCTCCATAAGGAGTAATTAAATAAGCGTAGTAGATAAAAATGTTCGGGCGTTCGAAGACGGCTAACTGGGATGCTCTCTTCCTTACTTCTTTCTTCTCTTGAAGGCGTTTGCCGTCATAAAGGTTCCAGGCCAATGAAAAGACCTTTTGGAAACAAACCATGGAGAGGCCTGTTATGTCAAGGGCCCAAGAGACACCTTGGAGGACAATATAAACATGTGTGGCCATGGTCATGGAAAATCCGATAAATCCAGCGATCCATGGTGGTAAGAAGAGCAAAAAGTAAGAAATAATAATGAATGCAACCATGATAAGTGAATCCTTAACGCCGAATAAAGCAAATGAAAGGATATTACCATAAATAATATGAATTAACGCATTTATGTATTTGCTTTTGATATGTGGGAATACAAAGCGAGCCATTGGATAGAGGAATGCTGATATAAACATATATAATTCGACAGTCGATAAGTTCTTCAAAATATCGAGAAGACTCATCAGATTATCAAAAAAATGGTATATCGTTCAGAAAAAAAATGCTATTCCATTTATTTGTTTATGAAATGTCAACATATAGTTTGCGAATAATATTTTTCAAATTGGCGACAATCTTTTGAATTTTTTTATTCAATTCGGAGTTTACAAAAGTTATGAATATAATTAAAACTTGATTGAGAATGTTTTTAATACGAAATTCGGTTCTTCCATTGAAATTTAAATTATTGGGAAAATGAAAAATCGTAATTATCACACTATAACAATGCTTATTGATTGAATAAAATGGTCAGTCAGAGGTAGGTTAACGATAGCCCAAAAAGGCCTCTCTGATAGAATTCCTTGTGCTTTTGGTATGCTATAATATAACCCCTACCATAGTAGAATGTGTAAACAGAAAGTCAAAATTAACTTACGATTATGAAATATAAGCAAAATAAAAACATAGAAAAAATTATTTGTTTTTTAATAAACTTTTATTTTTCAATGGAATTCGAGTTTTATAGAATTTTAATACAGCAGATAGATTTAATTATTGGTAGTAATTATGGCAGTCCCAACGGGAACCGCGGTAATTTACCGAGGTTTCCGCACACCGGTTCCTTTTTTTAGGAATTTTTTAGATTAAAAAATATGCTTTGTAAATCATTTTTTGTAAATCGGCAAAAATTTGGAAATATTCTGACGACAATAAATCTGGGAATAGTATTTTAAATACGAGAACAACCTATTTAAAAGTGTTTCGCTCGATTTTGTATAATTTCAAATTTTCGCATATAGCTTTCCGTGAATTACCGTGATTTTACCGCCACATCAATAGTTTACGACACTTTTTCCGTAAATTGAGTAGTTTACTGCACTTTTTCCGTAAAATTGAGTTACGGGAATCCGTAAGATTACCGTACCTCACTTCTAGTTGAAAATAGCATTAGTATATAATAAATAGATATATTATTCATATTTTTGATTTTGAATTACGGAAAAAGTGAGTTCGGAACTTCCAATTATTATTTGATTAATTATGTTAAAAATACTATAGGGAATTAAAATACATAATGTTGAAATTTGAATTACGGAAAAAGTGCGGGTGAAAGTGAAGTGAAAAAGTAAGATATTTTTTGTTGAAATAATCATAGTTGTACAATTTTGAAACTATATGTAAAGCTATAAATTGAATAAATTCAAAAACAAAAATTGTTTATTCTTATTAATAAATTTATATTAATCAATATTTGAACAACCCGTAATTAAAATTGAATTCCTCTTAAAATTTAATCCATACGTTAATTTTTAATTTGCTCGGCGAATGCCGAGCTTCCCTACTTCTCTTGTCATTCCTTCAAAAACTCTAATCTCATCGCACTTACAAACATCATGATTTGATGTATTGTCGAGAAATCTTAGACTTGTTTGTCATTTGATGATAGCATTTGAAAGTCATCTCGAAAATCGATTAACAAGACAATTTCCCAAACATCTACATACAAGTAGATGATGGTAAACCCATTAGAGTTGTTTTGCTATGATTCCTCCAATCTTATTATGAGAAAAATCATATCAAAACAGCTCTAATCGAACATTCTACACAGCTTAGCATCCAGCTAGTTCCAAGTAATGCGATTACAACATCAACGGCCAAAGCCTTTCAGAGTCCTTTAATCATTTCTTCTCATCTCAATGTGAAGTGGCCCCAAACGAACTACAAGCTGACGTTACAACGCATTACAACCCGGTTAATACGAGCATATACATTAGAGCTGCTTTGTTATGATCTCCCTCATCAATTGATGAGAGATCTCATTATGAAGCAGCTCCAATCGAACTAAAAACCTACATACAAATGAGTGAAAACAAACTCATTAGAGTTGTGTTGCTTTGACACATATATACCTCTTCCAACATTTCGAAAGAAGTTTCCTATCTTACTGAAGAAACCCATTTTACTATATGTAAAAATCTAATGTCCGCCTAGTCTCTTACGTTTCCTGTTGAGTTCCATAGCATTCTTTAACTGGAGCTCATACATTCTGTTTCTCCTCTGGTAGAAAACATATTCTGGGTCAACTCCTGTGTTCGCGTCATCTGCATAAAGTTGTTTATATCCCACTTCAGGGTTTGTATAAAACTCTTTCCATCTCATATTTGCATACCATGGTGGCAAACCTAACGCAGCGTCATTTGACATGGCAGTTTGCATTTGTACATCTGTTGGCACTTGACCATAGTTTGCCATTGCAGTTTGTATTCTAACTTCATTTGGAATATTCTCTGGGTTTGGTTGTCCAGGTTGCTGTGCATTCGCTAAGTTCTGTGCGTCCATTTAATATTAGATAAAAATATCTCTTACGAGTACATATGCTGAACATTTGCAGGCATTGGTTCATCTTCATATTCTCTGTACTTTTCTGCCACGTCAAATAAATAAATGACACAATGGAAAAAACCTAAAACAAGTAGTCCTATTTCAAACCACATTTACTTACTAATAAAATTTCTTTGTTATGACACTTTCTCCAGTTTATAGGACCTCTCTTATATTCTATCTTGTCATATATAAACTCATAGTCATGTATGTCCTCTAACCATCTCATAACGGTTTCCAAACCACTTTTATCGGATGTAAAGTAAAAGCATGGATGGTTATGTATAACGTCTAAAGTTTCTAAAGAGTCTCTCAAAGTCCAGTCTACTTGGTATTGAAAATCCCATGTGTTATAGAACGGCGGGTCCACTATAAAGAAAACATTTTCCTTGTCTTTATATTTTTCATACAACTCTGTCCAATGACATCTCACAAACTCTATACCCTCAATATATTTTTCTATGTCCTCTTTGAAAACATTTGTATAGTTAAGATATAAAACTTTTGACATAAGTGTTTCAATGTCATGAACTCTTATAGCACCACTATATAATAGTCTAGCAGATATACTATCCCAGTCTATATATTCTGCTTTTTTCAAAACCTCTCTCACAATATTTTTCTTATCTAATGGTATACGTTCCATCTTACCTATAGGTATCTTTTCTTTTAACTCTTTCAATATATTGTTTGTGTCTGGAATATGTTTGAGACGGTCCATATAGTTGTCGAAGTCATTGCATATAATCTTTGAGTCAGGAAATATTGTATGGCACAAATGGGATATATAGAAACTTCCACCGAACAAATCTACAAATGTTAGACCATTCGGTAGTTTCTTAAGTTCTCTCAATATAATATCTTTACATCTACTCTTATTTTCAAAGAACGGTAACGGCAGTTTTGTAAAATTCATTTATATATAATAATAAAAATGTTTTTACCCGAAAAGTGATAGAAAAGTGACAAAACATGAAAACATATATAATTTGTGAAAAGTGACACCATTAATATGATGTAAATAACAACGGTTTTGGTTTTGTCACCGGCTGGTCGGCTGGGGTTCGGTCCTCCTCTTGGGTCTTGGGCAAAATTTCTTATGGGCTAGAGGGCGCAACGCGCCTGGAAGCCCCACTTACCTGACCTCATTGGCACTCTAGTCCATGAAAATCATGCATAAATATAAATAATAATGAGAAAATTATCTTTCATTGGTGATTTATATGCAAAAATACATTTATTTGAGGATAGTATAATACAATGGATTCTTCCAATTGATGTGGAAAGCTAATAAAATTTTGGCTGAATGACGTCATCTGATCTCCCATCTATTGAACAGATGGATTTCATTACGAAGCTGTCATTCTTTCAAAATCCAGAACATATATTACTTGCAATTAATGAATTATCTACCGGAAATGTGAACGAAAATACATTATCGATGTTTTTATTAATTAACTACTGGTGCACCACGAAATGGTCTCAGATAATGGAGTCTGACCTTGTTTCACAACTTCACGTTTTATTATTTCAAACAATTCTTCCGTTTTTTAGTAAATATCCGCCAGAAATACAAAATCAAGTAAGTTCTACACAGACATCATTTTTTATAAATCTTTATCAATCAATGGATGAACTTTTTGCATGGATTTTTCATCAAAATTCCGATTTAAGTGTTTCATTTATGAAACACCTTTCTAAAAAACTAAACAGCTATTTACCTACGCAATTAGATCAGATACGAAACCTAATCGAAGTAATAAATACAACAGGAATCGCTTCACATATCGGAGAATATGCAATGTCATTATATTCAACAAATCCCGATGGCTGCTACATAATTACAGATTCTATAGCGCCATGGTGCAATACAAGCTGGGCAATTGAAGAGAAAAACCTTTCAATTTTACGAACTTGGCTAAATTCATCTACATCTTTTGGTCACGCGTTATATTTATTCTAATATACGATTGCTCATACTCTTCCTGAAAACAGAAATGAATTATTTTCACAATTAATTTCATTACAAAATTTAAGTGAGATAATTGCTACTTTAAACGAAGAACAATGTGCTATACAAGCATGTGAGTTCCTTTACTTCATTTACAAGCTCCTAACGCCAGAAGAAGGAACTCCAATAATTGAATTTTCCTCTTCCTTGATTACGATGTATCCCTGTGTTACCCACATTATCCTAAAATTATTTCTTATCACTCCAACCCCTGTTTTTCCTCCTCTCGAGATGATTGAGTTTTGTTGGGAATCAATTTGCCGGACAACTCTCATTTTGGACGTTGAACACCTCGACCAATTCATGACTGTTGAAGAATTAGCGGGGAATCTCATTGTTCAAGCCATAAACGAAGACAGGGAGTCATGTATGAGCTTAATCATGTCATTTTTCGGCCAAATCAGCGCAGTTAATGATCCGCAGCGGTTTCTAGCGCAAACATCGTTGTATAGAGTACTCAGAAGTGGCGGAGTCCGTGTTGCAGAAGAAAAAGAAATAATTTACAAATTCATTGAAATTTGTCAAGTAGAACCAGACATAATTGCAACATCGACAAGTGCGACATGCGCATTACTCAACTTGTTGAAACTGTCTGTATCCAATGGTTTGGCCTTCAAACCTTATCAGACACAACTTACCACGACTTTTCTTCGTTTTGTCATTGAAAGTGAATGTAATCAACAAACTTTGTCAAAATTTGAAGAAATTTTACCGAATTTCATTTCACAATACGAATCAAGTTTCGATTGGACTGATGAAATAATCGGTGCTTTGAGTATGTCTGATTCAATTAAAAGAGCTGAAGCTGCAGGAATCGCGATATCTTTGATTGGTCAAAACAAAGAAAGTTGTTTATCAACATCAATTGAAATTTTACAATCAAATATAGATATCAACAATCCTGTACCAGGTGTAACATCTTTATTGAAGTTTTGTTGTAGTTCAGGTTGTTCATGCGTCGATGAAATTGTTTCTATTTCGTTGCCATTGATCTCTGATGATTTAATTCATTCTTTAATAATAGAATGTACGAAAAAAAGTGACGATTTTCCAAATTTACTTTTGGAACACATACAAACGATCAGTGGCCCATTATCTTTAGCGGCAAGCTTGAACACAATACCTTCAATAAAACAAAAATGGAATGGCGACGGTTTGAACGGTTTTTAGCTCAATTTTTTGAGAATTCTTTACCAATTGTTATAGAAATCATGGAATTTTTCATGGCCGGATTTTATGAATATAACATTGCAGAAGAATTGATAAAATCATTGGATACAGCTGTTGGCTGCACAACTTCTTTGTTGCCGGAAGAAGTAATAACAGGAATAATTGATTGGCTTTGTCCAATGATTGTGTCGAGTATTGATTATCCGAGTTTGTTTTCTGTTATGAGAAGAACATTGGAGAATTTAGTGAGACACTCAAAACAGTATCTCAATGAATTAGTTAATGTTTCTTTTCTTTCGATTTTGGGAAATAATTTTGACCCGAATTTGTCGAATAACAGAGCATTGGTAAGTGACGCAATTATGGGAATAAGATTGTTAAGAAGATACGCTCCTGATCACTTGATGTCAGCAATAAATGATGCTGTTGCTGCAATTGGATTCACAACTGAAGAATCTACAAGATTTAATGAGATTACAAATATGAGACCTTCAAAAGCAACTGATGAAAAACTGACTCAGCTGCTTCAACAAGTTTGGAAACATTCATTTAGAACTTATGCTTAATCTATTAATTTTTGTTTGTTTGATAAACTGTTTGTTTATTATGTTTTATTATATTAACAATGATTTAAATCTTCATCATATTTTTCAAGATTTACTTATAGTAAAGAATGCAATTATTCTCATTTTTTTATTCATATTTCTGAAAATGAGCGTATAAGATCAATGAAAAATAACCTAGAACAACAGAATTGAAGGTTATATCATACGGGTATAAGTACACCTTTAACAATAAATCTCATTCAAAATAATAATTCATATTTGATATGAATTTCTTTTAAAAAAATGGCCATTCTTAAACTAAAGATAATATTTTCAAATTTCAATGATATATAAATGAAAAGTTGTAGAATTTGTCAGGTTTTAGTGGGGTGTGCCAGGAAACCATTGAGAATCTAATAAAAATACCAATGACAAATTGGAGTTTTTAGGACATCGAAAAAGTATAATATGTATATAGTTAATACTTTTAATGATATAACATTATTCATTTTTACATTAAAATAAAAACAACATAGGAAGACATTGGTAGGCTATGTGAGTTTATAGAATTTTGTTTGCATGAAAATTGAGAACAGTGGAGTTGAGATCTCAAGTCAAGTCCTGCTTGTTGCACCATTTGTACAAATGCTGAAGTAGAGTTTTGAATAATTACTCCGCATGAAAGCAAAGGACAGTTTGTGAAAGCACCTGCACCAATAGTATTTATTGATGAAGGAAGGGTAATCTGCTTGAGATTTATACATCCTCTAAATGCATTCTCACCAATGTATTTGATGTTTCCATCTGGAATTGTAATAACTTCGAGATTTGAGCAACTAGAGAATGCACCATTCTCAATACGCTCTACACCTTCAAGAAGAATAAAGTATACTCTTGTTGATGCAGGTGGATAAACATACATATTGCGTTTGTCGTGACTGTAAATAGCACCAGTCTCACTCATAAAGTTTCTGGAATCAAATAAACTAACATTGCTGAATTTATAACATCCATCAAAAACGCCAACATCAATTCTTTCGAGATTACTTGTTGACTTGATAGTAATTGATTTAAGACTTGCACAGTCTTTGAAACATTGTGTACTCAAATATTTAACACTATCGGGGATCTCAATATCTGCGATTCCTATGTTACTGAGACATTCTGCATCAAGTGAGATGCAATTCGTTGGAATTGTGAATGAAGTCAACTCAGTACAATCTTTGAAAATTGATGCAGGAAGTGAAGAGAAAGAAATATGATTTTGATTAAATGTGACTAATCTAATAGAAGATCTAGAGAAGCAACTAGTTCCAACTGAGATGATATTTACTGGAATTTGGATAGATTGAAGTGCAGTTAATCCACCAAAGCAATTCATTCCTAATGAAATTGTTCCCTTACAGATAAATAATATTTGTTGAATCAATAAACAGTTTGAAAATGCATTATCTTCAATTATTAAATCTGAATCAGAATTAAATGTGAGTGATATTAATTTGGTGTTTGTAAATGCTGATATTCCAATTTTAATTAATTTATTTGAAAAACTTAAAAACATTGAAAGAGGGCAATTCTTAAATTCATTCGCATTAATTGTTTGTAATTTGGAACCAAAATAAAAACTTGTAAGTTTAGTACAATCTTCAAAGGCTCCATATTCTATTTCGTTGAGCTCTGTATCTTCATCAAATGAAATTGTTGTTAAACTTTGGCTATTAGCAAAAGCGCCGACCTTTATTATTCTTACTTTTGATGGAATTTTAATGTTAGCTTCAGAACTTAATGATTGAGTAATGGAGGTGTTGTCTTTTGTGAGAACAAGTAACTGTTTATCTATGTTAAATATTGATTTTTCAGATATGTTGATGAATAGATTTTTGTTTGATGGAAAGCAGGATCCTCCTAGAGAAGTGACACTTTCTGGCACATAAATATAAGTTAGTGAATAACAATTTGAAAAAGCACTAGGACCAATCCATGTAACTTTATCTGGGATTACAACAGATGTTAGAGCAGTACCTGCAAAACAAGAAGTAGGAATCCCAGTAAGATTTGGTGGCAATTGAATATTCTGCAAGTATTGGCAACTAAATGAATATTGCTGAAATTCTGTAACTGCTGGCGGAATAATTATAGTTTTAAGTTGAGATCCCGTAAAGCATCCTTCATTGATTTTTGTAACAGTATGTAAAATTTCATATGAATCTCCAATAACAGAAGCACAGTAGATAATTGTTGTTTTAGTACTATCGTAAACTGCTTTGGTATCGCTCCAAAAATTTTGGTTCAATGGATTAACACGGATGCTTGTCATTGTTCCCACTCCACTAAACGCAGCACCACTAATCTTAGTAACATTCTCTGGAACTTCGAAACTTGTGAACTTTGTAACTAGAAAGGCATTGAAAACGAGCTCTTTAAGCTGTGATCCTTTACTGAACGTAATTGTATGAAGTGATCCAATATAACAAATTCCGAATATTTCAATCTTTGTTACTGTAGAAGGAATATTTATTGAAGTTATTGAAAGTTCAGAAATTGAATAGGCTGAAATTGTTTGCAATCCTTCTGGAAGAATAATAGTTGTGACTGCGTTACACTTAGCAAATGCATACTGTCCTAAAATAATCAATTCTGTGCATTTTGACAAATCAATACTTTTGAGGTTTGGGCAATTATAAAAAGAATAACTACCAATTGAAGTGAGTTTTGGATTATCTTGGAATGAGAACTGTTCAAGAGTGGTTCTAACTGGCTTGAAGCAATTACTATCTTGGGATCCATCAATAATTGATTCACATTTAGATGAAATAATTAAATGTGGTTTGGTTAAGCCAACAGTAAGAAGTGTCTTACCATTGTTAATATATGATGATTCTAATATATTAGTCATATTTTATTTATCTCTTATTTCAAATCTAAGCTTTTAATTGATAACAATTGGAGAATGGGGCCATTGAATCAATGGACCACCCTCAGAAAGTCACCTTTAGGATAAGAGCATCGAGGACAATAAACGGATTTATAATAATGTTCTTTTTGACTAATTTACATATCGTTTTTATGATCCTCCAATAAAAATATTCTTATAAAAAATCAAATTCCATTTTATGAGGGTATTCATGTGAGACAAGCTATTTGTTACTGCAAAATAACTTAAAACGTAAGCTGTTTAAATCAGACTGATAATGTTTTAACAAATGGCTATAAATCCATTTAATTTCCTTTTATTTTCTTTTTTAATATATAAAGCACAATCATGATCATACATTGGAGCATATTCAATTCAATTTAATTGTGAATGCAGATATTTCAGTAGGGAACAGTTAATATAGAGGTTAGTCCCTGCTTATACTGGGAATTCAATAATATTGCAGTGAAATGCCTTATCGTTTTGGAGATACTTCAAAATTTCATCTCAAAAAATTTAATCAATGCAATCAAATATACAAGAATAGACTTTCATATACTATAATTTCTTTTATAATCCATCAACGTTTTGCATTGGTAAAAAACATATAGGATTTGATCAAAAGGAGCTAATCTTGAGATTTTAATTAACAATATACTGATATTTCATGATTTAATACCATAAAATTAAAAAATACTTGATAAATGTAAGAAAAAACAATTTAGATTAACAAAATATAACAAATAAAATAAATTCTAGATATAATGTGCAACAACTGCAGTATTATTTGTTGCCTTGATAATGTCTTCGACCAAATTAGTCAATTCAAGCTTTTCATCGTTAGAATTTCTTAATTCAAAATCTTTTTGAGCAGAAACTTTTCTTTTGATCTCGCTTTTAACATCACTGATCATATCCTTTGGTTTTACTTTGATTCTACAGTTAATTTCTCCAGTAATTTTGAGAACAATAATTGATTTGTCCCAATATGATTCGTTTAAGAGTGTGAGTATTAATGGTTGACTTTCTAACTCATTCTGGATTTTAGAAACCAATGTCTTCGATGATTGAGACTTATTAACAAAAAATGAAGGTTTTTTCAAATAAATTCCGGTCAAATCTCCTGTATATAAATTAATATTATGTAAGATGTCTGTTGGCTTCGCTTCAATCTTTGCATTCAATTGGACCAAGCCGTTGTTTGAAATTGGCAAATCTAATCTTACATTGACTTCTACATACCTCTGGATGTAATATCCCATATCATTACTACCTATCTTTGAGTCAGGATCAAGTTTCTTTCCGTTGCAAACAATATAAAATTTTCCATCTTGAAATTCTTCGGATTTTTTCAAGATTTCCTTGGCTTCATTAATTGTTGCGTGTTTAGGAAGGCAAATATCATATAAAACAAGGCTGTTTTCTGAGTAAAAATAAAATAAGAAATCAACTTTTTCGTTTTCGGAGCCATAATCATCGGAATCATGTGTATCTGATTGAGTAGTATTATTTGGCTTAGACTTTTGCTCGATATCATCATCATTTTTAATTTTATTTTTATTAGCACGAGGAGTTAATAAAACTGATGATAAATCGCCATCCCTGTTACCATGTTTCGAATCTTGTCCTAATAAATTCATGATTTCTTGATTTTGTTGTTCATTTTCATCGATATTTTCTTGACTTGCAGAATAAGCAATTTTATTATCATCTATATCAAGATCGATTGGGTTATTATTGGACACACCTCCAATAATTATGTCTTCATCAAAATTTATGGTGTTATTTGGTTTATGATCAATAACTTCAATTAAATCTTCTGGATTTGGTTCAATTGTAATTAAACTTCCGTTATTTGGTCCTTTATGTGAAAGATCTTCTGAATTTAAATGATCATCGTCTGAAACTTGGGATTTATTATTTGAAACTGGAGTAGGAGTCTTTTCGTTGCTTTGCCTTATTTTTTCAAGCTCGTTTTTGCTATTATCTCCTTCGTTTTTATTATTTGGAAAAGATTGTGAAGAATTGTTCTTTTCTAAAGTATTAGGTTCAGAATCATGCGCTTGATTATTTATCTGTGATGAACTTGTCCTATCCATTTTAAATTTTACGGCAAGAGAAGCTGGAATTGTGTCGCTAAATACATAATCGTCAGGAAGAACAGTACCTTTCTCATTGAAGCATATCGATTCATCAGACGAAATGAAATTTGCTTTTATTAGCTCTTTTTGAAGTTCCGAAAGTGACATCCCTGTACATACTCTAAAATATTGATTTTTTTTCGATTTTGCGTTATTTATCCTTACTAATTTTGTTTGTCTAGGCATAATCAATCGGCCTTCTGGATTTTTCTTCTGCAATTCGGAAAGATTTTCCTGAGATGAAATCGGAATTCCAACAAAAAACATTGAATCTGGAGAATTTTGTATAACCTGAGAAACATCATTCTTAGAAATATGCTTTTTGTTGAATTCTTGAAGGTTTACCGATGTAGATGGATCCATTATTTTATATTTTTTTTTCCAAAATATTTTTGCCAACTAAAAAATCCATAATTAATTAAATTTCATCTCTATGCCCCGATGTCATCCTTTCTGTCGCCATTTCAGAGGATTACCAACTTGAAGACTTTGCACATACTATTGTAGTGATTATGAAGTTTTAATCTCATTTTGGAAGGTAAAACAGCAAAAAAATTTTAGGGTACACTTTTGTCATTTCAGTTTGTAAATTACGGATTTTTCTGATTTTTATTAATTAACTAATGTATGATATATTCTAAGACTTTTTAAATTTTGTAAAGATTTCAATTATTGTCAAACAGTGAAATTTTATCTGACAAATTTGTTAATAATCGTCTATTTGACAATCATCGACTGACAGATTTATGGAGTTTCCAATAATCTTATATTCAGGCGATAATAATTCACTTCCCTTCGTATTAAAAGTATCGCAGCAACAAGAATCTGTCATTCTAGAGTACAAACTTGCTGATGGAACAAATTTTATTGTGGATGATTTTTCGATTTTTAAAGCAATTCGCATGGATGAATTGGATTCACAAACACTCTCTATCATAGGCCCTGTTACCAGAAAAATCAGGTTTGATTCTTCATTAGGATTTTCGAATTTTTGCACTTTCTTAAATCAAGTCTACGATATGAAAGCTTCAGTCGACTCAAATGGATTATTAACTTTAGGTGAAAGCAAACTCTCGAAAAACTCTTTAAATAAGCCAAAACATAGGCCATTTCAAACAATTACATTTACCGAGAGCATGCCGACAGAAGAATTTAATTTTTCGACAGATTTCACATCTGACTTCCTCTGGCAGAAACCTGTAGTCATAAGTCCTGACGAAACAGGTACTTTATACCCAAATGAAACATTTAAATCAGTCATTCCGTTTTCAGTTGTTAACCCTGAACTCTCGACTATTGCTATCCTATGGACATCAATTTTACTAAAAAATAAAAAAGATTTCCTATCAGATTACCTCAAACTTAAAAAGCAATGGGAAACGATAACTTCATTTCAATGGAAGAATGATAAAACATTCAGAAATTACGTTGAACAGCTTGAAAAATCAGTTGATCGTTCAAATTTCAAAACGCCGCAAATTCGCGAAATTCTTTTCAATATTAATGTTTCGTTGTACTTTTATTACAACAGGTTAACTTTTGATAGCACAATTTATAAGTTTACAGAATTATTTGTTTCAATTTTCGTTATCGGCTCAGTTACCGACGGTAAGATATGTCTTAGAACAGATGAAGTGCTTAGTATTGATGCTGCAACTGCAAAAATCTTCTTTATTTTTACAAATTTCCATCATCAATATTTATATCAGAAAACATTTTCATTTTCACACATTTCGGACATGATTCTATCAGTGCAGACCATTATCAATAAATTCTGCCCTTCATTGAGCAATTCCATTGCTGAAATTTCTTTAGAAAATTTTGAGTACGTAATTAACCAATTTTATTGCTATTTAATCAATGTTCGGCCAAACGAAGACATAATACTCCTAGTTTCGTCAATTCTAGCCAATCCACAGCCCGGTATATTCATGAGATGCTTAATTTGCTCATCCATTAAGATGTTCGTTGATTTCCTTGGATCGATGAATCATCTTAGTCAAACACCTTTTGAATCTGCCTTTGACCAGTTTATTACAACTACTAATTTTAGGTTATTATTACATAACGGCGAAATGCTGCATTCCCACATTGCGCCATTCATCGTTTCTTTTAATAAATAAACTGTTAATTATAGAGTTTAGTTACAAATACGACTTATTTGCTTCTTTTTTTAAATTCATTAATCATTGGTGCAAAGAATGCAAGAATTTTTAAATTATTCTTTTTGAACAGTATCAATTTAAATAGTGTCTTTGTTTGTGAAAGAATTTTGATTTAGCAAGTGAAGAGAAAATTGAAATAAAAAGCAATAAAAAGTTAAAAACGATGCATCGATAATATTTTTAATATAAAGAAGGAATCCATTATCATTAGTATTCCGAAGTTTTGAAAAAATTCAATTTGATATTAAAAAACTTTATTTCATTGCCCCATGTTATGTTAATTCATTTTTAAATAAAATTGGAAAACTATCAGATTCAATGAAACATTTAAAAAACGTTCTTTTTTACAAGTTTAAAGAGATTTCTTTGCTTATTACATATATGTTATTTTTTCAAATTCAGTGAACAATAAAATATTTTATAATTCGATTTAAATTTATCTATCTAATAAAAATAAATGAATAAAAAATCAAATTGAATTATTTACAAATTGAATTGGTTATGGCCGCATTATTGAATGGATTTTTCTAAAATCAAGTTCTCAATTAATTCTGACATAATCAATTTAACCAAACGATTGATTTTATTGATTGATATATCTGTATTATAATGATTCAATTTTTTAGAAATCAAAAAAGTTATCGAACGTAATTTTTGTTAGTATATCTAAATTGTTTATATTACAACTTTCTATATTAGTATATTAAATGTGTCCAAAACTAAATTGTCAAGACCACTATAATTCAATAAATCATTCAAATCGCAACAAACTTTTATCTGGCTTTAGGTTAAATGTAATATCAAAATCGACTCAATCAATTTTTGTATAGTGCAACTATGATGAAAAATTGCGTAATCATTTATTAAATTAAATAAAATGCTATTTTCTCTTGTATTTGCGACAAGACAAGCGATCAATGTAGATCGTACATGCAACCCAAAAGAAAACGCTACATATAAACTTGAATCTGGCTTATATTCTGTCGAAATCATTGGCGCTCAAGGTGGTGATTCATGCAAGCACGGAGTATTTGGAGCATTCGGAGGAAATGGCTCAATTGTTCAAGCACAATTACGAATTAAAGGTGAATATTCTGTTGTATTTAGTGTTGGTGAAAAGCCACCTACAGATTGTACAAAAGAATATAATCGTGGCGGCTTCCCAGAAGGAGGATATGGTGGTTCAGATAAGGAAGGCTCTGGAAACGAACAATCCGGCGGAGGTGGCGGATTAACCGAATTGAAGATCAAAGATACTAATATTGCCATTCTGATAGCAGGTGGTGGTGGAGGTGCTGCATATTCTCATGTTGGTGGCTATGGTGGTGACTTTGGCACAAACGGCGGTTATATTATTGTTGATGCTGATTGTAAGACTTCTGGTCCAAAACACACGGATTCCCGAGCTGGTGGCACTGGAGTCTGGTCTCAATCAATACCGGGAGGTGGTGGTGGAAGTGGCTATCCAGGTGGTGTTGGAGGAACTTGGTCAATATATAATGATTATTGTTCCGCTGGTTATGGTGGTTCTTCGTACTACAATGAGACATTATCAAACCAAGGCTGGTTTGACGGCGTTCCAACAGTCATTAATGGATCAATTGCTCAAAGTTCCCAATTTGGACACGGATGCTATCAAATTCACATAATATATAAGTGTCCAAACTTCTGTTACCATTGTTTGAGTAAAGATGTTTGTGAACAATGTAATTCTGATGCTTATTCGTACAAAGGAAAGTGTTACTTATCATGTGATCATACATACACAGCTCTCGGTGAAGGAACATATGTTTTAGAAGGAACTCATCAGTGTGCAAAATGTCATAGTAGTTGTGAAACATGTTCAGGTCAATCGAGTGATCAATGCACATCATGTCCAGATGGAATGGTTCTTTATCAAGGATATTGTAAACCTCCATCAACACCTGTTTACACTCCAGTCATCACACCTATTACGACACCTGTGATGACATTCCATGAGACACCATTCGAAACAATGTATGAAACACCATTCCTTACTATGCACGAGACAGCATTCGAAACTCCATACTTAACAAATCACGAAACACCTTTCAATACAGTATTTGAAACACCATTCACAACAAACCACGAAACACCATATGAAACACCATTTACAACAATGTTCAATACTCCTTATTTAACAGAATTCGAAACACCTTTCGTAACAAATCACGAAACACCATTTGAAACACAGTTTATCACAGCATTTGAGACACCATATCTAACAAATTTTGAAACACCTTTCGTTACAGCATTTGAAACACCTTTCTCTACAAATGAAGTAACAGCATTCGAAACACCATTTATGTCTATGTTTGAAACACCATTTTCAACAGCTTTCGAAACTAATCACAAAACACCATTCATATCTATGTTTGAAACACCATATAATACAGCATTTCAAACAGCATTCGAAACAGCATTTGAAACACCATTCATTACAGCCAAAGAAACAGAAGAAATCCAAGATATTCCTATTCCTATCCCAGAACCTGAAAAAAGTTCAAGTTATGTTTCTAGTTCATCTTCTAAGTCATTGCCTTCATTACAATCTTCTTCTGTTTCAAGTTCATCTACACATTCTGTATCTTCATCATCATCAGGACAAGAATCAGGTAATAAGCCAGGCAATTACAAGCTTGATTCTGATGCTTCTAATAAAGAAAAGAATAAGAAGTCAATTATGTATGGTATAATCGGTGCAGTTCTTGCATTAATTATTATCATTGCAATCATTGTTGTAGCAATATACTTCTACCATAAGAAAGATACCGATGTTGAATACAGTTCTACGGATGAAGAAATGGTTGTTGAAACAGTTATTTCAACAACAACAACAGCAGGAGATGCAACAGGAATAACCATTGATAACCCATTATGGACAACTACTGTGAATGATGATTCTGAGGATGTGTTCAAACAAGATTTCGAAGAACGAAGAGTTGATATTAATATATATGAAGTTTAATTTGTTTGTTATTATTATACCTTTATATATTTAGAATAAAACTATTATCCATGTTATGCGTTTTTCTATCAAATACAACAATATTTTTTTAAATGAAAAATAGAAGCAATTTACAATAAATTTCGACTTCAATTCATAACAACGCAATCAATACATCAAAAATGGTTCAGGATGAATCAAATCTATGATTTAAAACGCTTTTCAAGCAGAATTATAAAAAAAAATTATTTGATTAAAATTTTCAAATAATTTACGTATTTTTATATTCAATATGATATTAAATATGGAATTTGAAATTATCATCCAGTTTTCAACGTGCGAAACTTAGATTTTTAAAATAAAAATTGGGTCGTTATCGATTTTGTAATTTAATTGTTATCGTCTTTTTCTAAACGTGCATTTTGGAACTAAATCGCATATAACTTTAAAATGACTTAATATTTAAAGGTTTATGTGGTAAATATCAACGAAATGTAATATTAATATGTGCACCATATATGAATTACAGACATTTGAGCAATTCGAAATTTCATCGCGTTATATATTCATTTAAATTCGATCAAATCAACATTGCAATTATAAAACCATTACACATCCAGTCAATATTTTTCAATTTCATGCGAATTATATCATTATTACACATTTTAAAATGGCGAAATATAGTCCAAAAAATAAACTTCGTTTTAAACTCAATTCTCACACATATTCGGATTAAATCATATGTGACTCATATGATCATACATCTCATTTGAGGTCTAAAAAATGATTTACCGAGAAAACTTGCATTCGAACTAAAATTTACTAAATTTAATCAAATTGGTTTACAAACGTAAAGTTTATGCCAAATATTTACGTTTGTAAACTAATTGAGTAAATTTATAGCACTTTTTTTCTCGATGCAATAATTTGAACTACGAGTTTACCAAATTAGTTTACAAACGTAAAGTTTATGCCAAATATTTACGTTTGTAAACTAATTGAGTAAATTTATAGCACTTTTTTCTCGATGCAATAATTTGAACGACAAGTTAATGTAATTAGTGTTCTCATGTTTACAATTCAATATGTCTATGCATATGATATATGCAAATTCTATAAATAAAATATTATTAAATAAAATTCTTTTCAATTCCTTAAAAATAGCGTTTCTTTTGAATAAAAAATGATTTTTAACTAATTTTAGGACTCTTTCTATTTCAAAAAAATACCTGAATTTAATTTTCTGATGCAAAATTTATGCTTTTTATCATGAAATTCTTTTTTTCAAAATTTTTTTGGATTTTTTTCCATTTTGAATATAGTTAATTTTACTTTATTTCACATTCTATTAAGAAATACTTAGGCCAATCCCTGTGGGACCCAGTGGTAACTTTCCATGGAAACCACTCAGTGGGAACATTTTTTATTTTTGACGGAAAAAATTCTAAATATTTTTTTCATTTTTTGATTTTTGAATTTTTTTTTGGAATTAGAGAATAAAATTTAAAGCGATAGATATGCTCGATTATTCAAGATATTGATATTAAATCAGAAATCAATGGTAAATAAAGAGTTTTATAAAAACTTACCACGTGGTAAGATGAAGTGACCACAAATTGAGTTGTGGTACATAAAAATTACCACAAAATTGAGAACTTTTCCCACAAATTGAGAATTTTTACCATAAAATGAACGATGGATATCCACGAAAGTTACCACAACTCACTTCTCGCGCAAAATATGTTTAATATTACATATTAAATACATTTATCAACATTAATTATTTTGAATTGTGGTAAAACGATATGTCACATATTTTTTATAAAAATTTGTAAAAATGTTTATTTTAATTTATATAATTAAATATTAAAATTTTAAATTTTGAAATAAAATAAATTAAATTCGTCCGTTATCTTTAATTCGCTCGGCGAATGCCGAGCTTACGTACTCATGTATTCCTTCTTGTTACAACTCGAACAAGAACATCACCTTTAACATATTATCAAGAAGCCCACTATAAACTTTTCATTTGATGAGTTTTGAATCGCGAGCTTCTTGATAGTCAAACTACGCACCAGCACTACAACTTCTTTCACCCGAACTAATACAAATTTACACATTGGAACTGCTCTAACCGAAATACGCACAAACACTCCAACTTAAAGCAACCAAATCAATACGATTATGAGGCAGTTCCAATCGAACTACTCACAGACAGTCCAGCTAACCAAACCGAATCAATACACCATTTTCAACAGCTTTCGAAACTAATCACAAAACACCATTCATATCTATGTTTGAAACACCATATAATACAGCATTTCAAACAGCATTCGAAACAGCATTTGAAACACCATTCATTACAGCCAAAGAAACAGAAGAAATCCAAGATATTCCTATTCCTATCCCAGAACCTGAAAAAAGTTCAAGTTCTGTATCTAGCTCTGATTACAATGAATCTTCATCGTCATCATTATCACAAGATTTATCCTCATCACAATCATCATCATCATCTAATATCAAATCATCAGGTAATTTAGGGCAAGATGATGCCGATGCAATCAACAAAGAAAAGATCAAGAAGAAAAAGACGATTGTTTATTCAATCATCGGTGCAATTCTCGCATTAATTATCATCATCACTATCATTGTCTTATCGATATACTTCTACAGTCGAAAATCCGACGAAAAGGAAAGTACAGTCGAAGAAGAAATGATTGAAGAAACAGTCATATCATCTACAGGTGAAACAGCCGGTGTCACAATCGACAATCCTCTATGGACGACTACTGTTGTTGATGATTCTGAGGACATATTCAGACATGACTTCGAAGAACAAAGTATGACAATTAACATATTTGAAGCTTAATTTGTTTTTTATATTTTTCTATTCTGAATAAATCTATTTACCTTGTTAAGCGTTTTTCACATCATTAGTCTTTATTTTAATATCAAATAAAAAGTCATCTGGAAACCCCACAACAAATAACTAGAAATTGAAATCAACCTGATCTAAATTTGATAAAATTAATAAACTATCATATATGGCAGAGATCAATTCTAGTTGTAAATTAATAAAAACTAATATTTGTCAAAATGAAATTTAATGATATTTGGACATTTGGTTCTGTTATATGTATTTGAAAATGATTTATAAATATATTAAATATCTTACAAATGTCTATTATTTATCATAAAATTTCTGTCCCGAAATTGAATAGTTTATTCTTAATTTTTTTATTGGGTTTAAATCCCTGATTTTGAAAGCATCATGCAAATATACATAATAAACTTTTTAATGTTATTAAAAAAAGTTCAATAAATGTCCTGATTAAAATAGAATAAAAATTGAATAAATTATTTTTTATCAAAATTGAAAACAAAAGCGACATTTTTGAATGATCTCATTAATTTTTTTCTGATGATTTTTTCAACTCGGTTAATACAATTTTTCTCTATATTATATAGTAATGATTTATTGAAATTAAAAATAAAAATAATCGAACTTAAATATTTAAAATAATTTCTTTGAAATAAAAGAATATTATAGAATTATCTCTATCAAAATCGACTAAATTTATTTTTCTATGGCGCTTCTATGATGAAAATTTGCGTCATCAATGCAACAATCTAATAAATGCTCTTAGCCATTGTTTTCTCTTCATATCAGGCGATTGATGTAGGATGGACATGCGACCCAGCAAAGATACATGAATATACGCTCTCAGCAGGCCTATACTCAGTAGAAATTCAAGGGGCGGAGGGAGGTGATGCATGTTCAGATGGGGTAAAAAGCGCAAATGGTGGAAGAGGATCCAATATTCAAGCTCTACTCCAAATAAAAGGCGAATATACAGTTGAATTCGTTATTGGAGAAAAGCCTCCATTAAACTGCTCTGGAAGAATAAATCGCGGCGGCTGGCCAGATGGCGGCTCCAGTGGTTACGACGATGAAACGCTCACTACGCCAGATGTATCAGGCGGAGGCGGGGGGTCTACAGAATTAAGAATCAAAGATCAAGAAATATCTCTCCTGATAGCCGGCGGAGGTGGTGGTGCTGCTGATTATCATGTAGGTGGATTTGGTGGTGGTATTGGTACTAACGGAGGTTTTGATATTCTTGATACTTGTGAAAACTGGTATTTTCCAGAAGAACATGAAGGATTATCAACAGATAAACATGAGGAAGGGAGACAAGGTGGCCGAGGTCAAGATCATCCAAGAGTAACAGGCGCCGGCGGCGGTGGTGGGAAATATGGTGGAATTGGTGGTACCTATTCAAAACAATATTATTTTTGCTCAGCAGGTTTTGGTGGTTCCTCATATTTTAACGATACAAGAGGCGAACATAGTTGGTTTATGCAAACCCCAATTGTATTAAATGGAAGTAGAACAGAAGCTACTACAAACGGAAGTGGATGCTATCAAATCCACACACAATACAAATGCCCGGATAATTGCTTTTATTGCTTGGATAGTGATACATGCAAAGAATGTAATTATAATGCGAAATCGTACAAAGGAAAATGCTACTTGTCTTGTAACGATACATATTCAGAAATCCATGAAGGAACATATCTTATGCATAATGGACGTCAGTGTGCAAAATGTCATAGTAGTTGTGAAACATGTTCAGGTCAATCGAGTGATCAATGCACATCATGTCCAGATGGAATGGTTCTTTATCAAGGATATTGTAAACCTCCATCAACACCTGTTTACACTCCAGTCATCACACCTATTACGACACCTGTGATGACATTCCATGAGACACCATTCGAAACAATGTATGAAACACCATTCCTTACTATGCACGAGACAGCATTCGAAACACCATATTTAACAAATCACGAAACACCTTTCAATACAGCATTCGAAACACCATTCACAACAAACCACGAAACACCATATGAAACACCATTTACAACAATGTTCAATACTCCTTATTTAACAGAATTCGAAACACCTTTCGTAACAAACCACGAAACACCATTTGAAACACAGTTTATCACAGCATTTGAAACACCATATCTAACAAATTTTGAAACGCCTTTTGTTACAGCATTTGAAACACCTTTCTCTACAAATGAAGTAACAGCATTCGAAACACCATTTATGTCTATGTTTGAAACACCATTTTCAACAGCTTTCGAAACTAATCACAAAACACCATTCATATCTATGTTTGAAACACCATATAATACAGCATTTCAAACAGCATTCGAAACAGCATTTGAAACACCATTCATTACAGCCAAAGAAACAGAAGAAATCCAAGATATTCCTATTCCTATCCCAGAACCTGAAAAAAGTTCAAGTTCTGTATCTAGCTCTGATTACAATGAATCTTCATCGTCATCATTATCACAAGATTTATCCTCATCACAATCATCATCATCATCTAATATCAAATCATCAGGTAATTTAGGGCAAGATGATGCAGATGCAATCAACAAAGAAAAGATCAAGAAGAAAAAGACGATTGTTTATTCAATCATCGGTGCAATTCTCGCATTAATTATCATCATCACTATCATCGTCTTATCGATATACTTCTACAGTCGAAAATCCGACGAAAAGGAAAGTACAGTCGAAGAAGAAATGATTGAAGAAACAGTCATATCATCTACAGGTGAAACAGCCGGTGTCACAATCGACAATCCTCTATGGACGACTACTGTTGTTGATGATTCTGAGGACATATTCAGACATGACTTCGAAGAACAAAGTATGACAATTAACATATTTGAAGCTTAATTTGTTTTTTATATTTTTCTATTCTGAATAAATCTATTTACCTTGTTAAGCATATTTCACATCATTAGTCTTTATTTTAATATCAAATAAAAAGTCATCTGGAAACCCCACAACAAATAACTAGAAATTGAAATCAACCTGATCTAAATTTGATAAAATTAATAAACTATCATATATGGCAGAGATCAATTCTAGTTGTAAATTAATAAAAACTAATATTTGTCAAAATGAAATTTAATGATATTTGGATATTTGGTTCTGTTATATGTATTTTGAAAATGATTTATAAATATATTAAATATCTTACAAATGTCTATTATTTATCATAAAATTTCTGTCCCGAAATTGAATAGTTTATTCTTAATTTTTTTTATTGGGTTTAAATCCCTGATTTTGAAAGCATCATGCAAATATACATAATAAACTTTTTAATGTTATTAAAAAAGTTCAATAAATGTCCTGATTAAAATAGAATAAAAATTGAATAAATTATTTTTTATCAAAATTGAAAACAAAAGCGACATTTTTGAATGATCTCATTAATTTTTTTCTGATGATTTTTTCAACTCGGTTAATACAATTTTTCTCTATATTATATAGTAATGATTTATTGAAATTAAAAATAAAAATAATCGAACTTAAATATTTAAAATAATTTCTTTGAAATAAAAGAAATATTATAGAATTATCTCTATCAAAATCGACTAAATTTATTTTTCTATGGCGCTTCTATGATGAAAATTTGCGTCATCAATGCAACAATCTAATAAATGCTCTTAGCCATTGTTTTCTCTTCATATCAGGCGATTGATGTAGGATGGACATGCGACCCAGCAAAGATACATGAATATACGCTCTCAGCAGGCCTATACTCAGTAGAAATTCAAGGGGCGGAGGGAGGTGATGCATGTTCAGATGGGGTAAAAAGCGCAAATGGTGGAAGAGGATCCAATATTCAAGCTCTACTCCAAATAAAAGGCGAATATACAGTTGAATTCGTTATTGGAGAAAAGCCTCCATTAAACTGCTCTGGAAGAATAAATCGCGGCGGCTGGCCAGATGGCGGCTCCAGTGGTTACGACGATGAAACGCTCACTACGCCAGATGTATCAGGCGGAGGCGGGGGGTCTACAGAATTAAGAATCAAAGATCAAGAAATATCTCTCCTGATAGCCGGCGGAGGTGGTGGTGCTGCTGATTATCATGTAGGTGGATTTGGTGGTGGTATTGGTACTAACGGAGGTTTTGATATTCTTGATACTTGTGAAAACTGGTATTTTCCAGAAGAACATGAAGGATTATCAACAGATAAACATGAGGAAGGGAGACAAGGTGGCCGAGGTCAAGATCATCCAAGAGTAACAGGCGCCGGCGGCGGTGGTGGGAAATATGGTGGAATTGGTGGTACCTATTCAAAACAATATTATTTTTGCTCAGCAGGTTTTGGTGGTTCCTCATATTTTAACGATACAAGAGGCGAACATAGTTGGTTTATGCAAACCCCAATTGTATTAAATGGAAGTAGAACAGAAGCTACTACAAACGGAAGTGGATGCTATCAAATCCACACACAATACAAATGCCCGGATAATTGCTTTTATTGCTTGGATAGTGATACATGCAAAGAATGTAATTATAATGCGAAATCGTACAAAGGAAAATGCTACTTGTCTTGTAACGATACATATTCAGAAATCCATGAAGGAACATATCTTATGCATAATGGACGTCAGTGTGCAAAATGTCATAGTAGTTGTGAAACATGTTCAGGTCAATCGAGTGATCAATGCACATCATGTCCAGATGGAATGGTTCTTTATCAAGGATATTGTAAACCTCCATCAACACCTGTTTACACTCCAGTCATCACACCTATTACGACACCTGTGATGACATTCCATGAGACACCATTCGAAACAATGTATGAAACACCATTCCTTACTATGCACGAGACAGCATTCGAAACACCATATTTAACAAATCACGAAACACCTTTCAATACAGCATTCGAAACACCATTCACAACAAACCACGAAACACCATATGAAACACCATTTACAACAATGTTCAATACTCCTTATTTAACAGAATTCGAAACACCTTTCGTAACAAACCACGAAACACCATTTGAAACACAGTTTATCACAGCATTTGAAACACCATATCTAACAAATTTTGAAACGCCTTTTGTTACAGCATTTGAAACACCTTTCTCTACAAATGAAGTAACAGCATTCGAAACACCATTTATGTCTATGTTTGAAACACATTTTCAACAGCTTTCGAAACTAATCACAAAACACCATTCATATCTATGTTTGAAACACCATATAATACAGCATTTCAAACAGCATTCGAAACAGCATTTGAAACACCATTCATTACAGCCAAAGAAACAGAAGAAATCCAAGATATTCCTATTCCTATCCCAGAACCTGAAAAAAGTTCAAGTTCTGTATCTAGCTCTGATTACAATGAATCTTCATCGTCATCATTATCACAAGATTTATCCTCATCACAATCATCATCATCATCTAATATCAAATCATCAGGTAATTTAGGGCAAGATGATGCAGATGCAATCAACAAAGAAAAGATCAAGAAGAAAAAGACGATTGTTTATTCAATCATCGGTGCAATTCTCGCATTAATTATCATCATCACTATCATCGTCTTATCGATATACTTCTACAGTCGAAAATCCGACGAAAAGGAAAGTACAGTCGAAGAAGAAATGATTGAAGAAACAGTCATATCATCTACAGGTGAAACAGCCGGTGTCACAATCGACAATCCTCTATGGACGACTACTGTTGTTGATGATTCTGAGGACATATTCAGACATGACTTCGAAGAACAAAGTATGACAATTAACATATTTGAAGCTTAATTTGTTTTTTATATTTTTCTATTCTGAATAAATCTATTTACCTTGTTAAGCATATTTCACATCATTAGTCTTTATTTTAATATCAAATAAAAAGTCATCTGGAAACCCCACAACAAATAACTAGAAATTGAAATCAACCTGATCTAAATTTGATAAAATTAATAAACTATCATATATGGCAGAGATCAATTCTAGTTGTAAATTAATAAAAACTAATATTTGTCAAAATGAAATTTAATGATATTTGGATATTTGGTTCTGTTATATGTATTTGAAAATGATTTATAAATATATTAAATATCTTACAAATGTCTATTATTTATCATAAAATTTCTGTCCCGAAATTGAATAGTTTATTCTTAATTTTTTTATTGGGTTTAAATCCCTGATTTTGAAAGCATCATGCAAATATACATAATAAACTTTTTAATGTTATTAAAAAAAGTTCAATAAATGTCCTGATTAAAATAGAATAAAAATTGAATAAATTATTTTTTATCAAAATTGAAAACAAAAGCGACATTTTTGAATGATCTCATTAATTTTTTTCTGATGATTTTTTCAACTCGGTTAATACAATTTTTCTCTATATTATATAGTAATGATTTATTGAAATTAAAAATAAAAATAATCGAACTTAAATATTTAAAATAATTTCTTTGAAATAAAAGAATATTATAGAATTATCTCTATCAAAATCGACTAAATTTATTTTTCTATGGCGCTTCTATGATGAAAATTTGCGTCATCAATGCAACAATCTAATAAATGCTCTTAGCCATTGTTTTCTCTTCATATCAGGCGATTGATGTAGGATGGACATGCGACCCAGCAAAGATACATGAATATACGCTCTCAGCAGGCCTATACTCAGTAGAAATTCAAGGGGCGGAGGGAGGTGATGCATGTTCAGATGGGGTAAAAAGCGCAAATGGTGGAAGAGGATCCAATATTCAAGCTCTACTCCAAATAAAAGGCGAATATACAGTTGAATTCGTTATTGGAGAAAAGCCTCCATTAAACTGCTCTGGAAGAATAAATCGCGGCGGCTGGCCAGATGGCGGCTCCAGTGGTTACGACGATGAAACGCTCACTACGCCAGATGTATCAGGCGGAGGCGGGGGGTCTACAGAATTAAGAATCAAAGATCAAGAAATATCTCTCCTGATAGCCGGCGGAGGTGGTGGTGCTGCTGATTATCATGTAGGTGGATTTGGTGGTGGTATTGGTACTAACGGAGGTTTTGATATTCTTGATACTTGTGAAAACTGGTATTTTCCAGAAGAACATGAAGGATTATCAACAGATAAACATGAGGAAGGGAGACAAGGTGGCCGAGGTCAAGATCATCCAAGAGTAACAGGCGCCGGCGCGGGTGGTGGGAAATATATGGTGGAATTGGTGGTACCTATTCAAAACAATATTATTTTTTGCTCAGCAGGTTTTGGTGGTTCCTCATATTTTAACGATACAAGAGGCGAACATAGTTGGTTTATGCAAACCCCAATTTATTAAATGGAAGTAGAACAGAAGCTACTACAAACGGAAGTGGATGCTATCAAATCACACACAATACAAATGCCCGGATAATTGCTTTTATTGCTTGGATAGTGATGCAAAAGATAATTATAATAATCGTACAAAGGAAAATGCTACTTGTCTTGTAACGATACATATTCAGAAATCCATGAAGGAACATATCTTATGCATAATGGAGTCAGTGTGCAAAATGTCATAGTAGTTGTGAAACATGTTCAGGTCAATCGAGTGATCAATGCACATCATGTCCAGATGGAATGGTTCTTTATCAAGGATATTGTAAACCTCCATCAAACCTGTTTACACTCCAGTCATCACACCTATTACGACACCTGTGATGACATTCCATGAGACACCATTCGAAACAATGTATGAAAACCATTCCTTACTATGCACGAGACAGCATTCGAAACACCATATTTAACAAATCACGAAACACCTTTCAATACAGCATTCGAAACACCATTCACAACAAACCACGAAACACCATATGAAACACCATTTACAACAATGTTCAATACTCCTTATTTAACAGAATTCGAAACACCTTTCGTAACAAACCACGAAACACCATTTGAAACACAGTTTATCACAGCATTTGAAACACCATATCTAACAAATTTTGAAACGCCTTTTGTTACAGCATTTGAAACACCTTTCTCTACAAATGAAGTAACAGCATTCGAAACACCATTTATGTCTATGTTTGAAACACCATTTTCAACAGCTTTCGAAACTAATCACAAAACACCATTCATATCTATGTTTGAAACACCATATAATACAGCATTTCAAACAGCATTCGAAACAGCATTTGAAACACCATTCATTACAGCCAAAGAAACAGAAGAAATCCAAGATATTCCTATTCCTATCCCAGAACCTGAAAAAAGTTCAAGTTCTGTATCTAGCTCTGATTACAATGAATCTTCATCGTCATCATTATCACAAGATTTATCCTCATCACAATCATCATCATCATCTAATATCAAATCATCAGGTAATTTAGGGCAAGATGATGCAGATGCAATCAACAAAGAAAAGATCAAGAAGAAAAAGACGATTGTTTATTCAATCATCGGTGCAATTCTCGCATTAATTATCATCATCACTATCATCGTCTTATCGATATACTTCTACAGTCGAAAATCCGACGAAAAGGAAAGTACAGTCGAAGAAGAAATGATTGAAGAAACAGTCATATCATCTACAGGTGAAACAGCCGGTGTCACAATCGACAATCCTCTATGGACGACTACTGTTGTTGATGATTCTGAGGACATATTCAGACATGACTTCGAAGAACAAAGTATGACAATTAACATATTTGAAGCTTAATTTGTTTTTTATATTTTTCTATTCTGAATAAATCTATTTACCTTGTTAAGCATATTTCACATCATTATCATATATATCACATGGAAATTGTGTTTCAATTATAAGAAAATGAATTTAATCTGAACTCAATTTGATAAAATTAATAAACTATTTTCCATGTTAAGCGTTTTTCAGATCATTGTAACTCTGTCATTCATTTCAATTAAAGAAAGAATACATCTGGAAAACGTTTTCAAATAAGAATATGAATTTAATAAAATTAATGAACTATTTTCAATGTTAAGCGTTTTTCAACCTAAAACTTGATTTTAATTAACTATTATTGGTCAGAAAAATGTATGATTCTAAAATAAAAAATATTTCGAGATAACCATAAGAAATAATAGTTTAATATTATCTAACAAGTAAAAGTAATGAATATTCAAACATAGAAATGAACTTGGCTCTATAAATAAAAATTATATTAGTTATTTCCATATGCTAAATCATAATATATCTCATACAGAACAAATGCTCCACTCAAAATTAAGAAAAACAATGAGATACCTAATAAAGGCCCTGAAATAATCAAAGTTTTTTGTTTTGAAGTTTTTGAAAGTCCAGCTAAGTATACTTGAGGTGTCTTCACATAATCAACTGGTAATCCAGTGAAATTTGTAAAGTTCAAACGGAATCCTGACTTACAATATGGATAATCCTCCTGATTGAAGAGAACTGGCGAAGAAAGGTTTGGATTTATTGATGTATATTGTGGTGTTGAATTACAAAAGTCTGAAAGAAAAGCTTTATCTGTGATTTGAGTTTGATAAGGACAAAGAATTTGAACAAGATCATCTCCGTATTTAAATATTTGATATTTCGATAATTGCTTCATAGTTACATTTGGTATTTCTGGATTAGTGATGTCCATGTTTTGTTTGTAAGAATTTTCAAACAAGTTTGTGCCTTTAAGGCTGGAAACTGCTAAGTGGAAATCGTAGCTATATAAATTGTGTAGAAGATAAAAGGAAAGATAGTTTTGTGTATCGGAAATTTCAATATCTGCGATTGTAGAGAATTGTTGATTATATAGTTGTGAGATCGATTTTTCTGGCATTAGATATAACTTTCCATATGGATCATCTGCTTTTGGATAAACAGGTAAAGAAATAATATAAGGATAACCAATATACTCATCCATTTGTGCTGCTTTTCCTAGTAATGTTGCAGAAATGATAAGGAGTATAAGTGAGATGCTGAAAGTCCATAAGACAATTCTAAAAAAGATACCCATTTATAAAATTTTGAAAATTTTGCTAGATTTATTAATTTTTCCGTATTTACATAAAAAATTGAATTCAATTATCATATTTTAATTGTCTCAAAATTTGAATTTATAACGGCAAATAAAATAAAAAATAAATCAAATCAAAAAGAATCTCTCAGGGGATATACATCAATAATTTAATGATTTGTCTGCTTAGATTTTATCAATATCTCTTTCTAATTGTTGATAATTATTAAACAATAAAAATATATTTGTTTCTAATTGCATAAAGCATATTTTATTTAGCTCACATGCCCAACAATGGCATAGCAAAATGCAGAATATTACTTGCAAATATGAATCCAATATTTGTAATAATATGCTTATTGCATGAAATGGTGCTGCTCAATCGAATGGATAACCATCAAAGATGTGTCATGATCATAACTCATTCATATGACATTCAGATCGAAGCTACATTTTGAGAAGAAGCTAAACAAATATTAATATTGAAAAAAATTTGATATAATTAGAACAATGAAGACTGATATGATTTCATCAAGCCTTTTTAAATTAAAATAATGCTGAAATTTTCCGTTATGCAAATTCGCGTCATCTTATTTGGCTTTTCAAAGCCTCAATAGTATTCAAAAAATAAACAATAACATTTATTAAGGGTTAGATGCTTGTTAGAATGATTGAGTTTTCCAATGTATACATCTGACCAAACTTCTTTCAATCTGATGCGGATTCTACTATTTAGTATTAAATGTATTCTTTTTCGATCATGATCCAATTCAATTATTACAAAAATCTGACGAACCAATTTTTCAATAGGAAATCAATGATCCAAAATTTATCACAATACCATTATGGATCATTTTTTGGAGTTACGAACATAAAACCGAAAAACCAATCTCAAAAATTCTGTTTAAAGTCTTTTCAGGGGGTTATACCGTGATATTAGCCTTGTACCGAAAAAAAGTGACGGGCAATACTTTGATTTATCGAAACGGAATATTTAATAAATCAAGTTTATCAAAGTATTGTAACCAAATCTGATGGTAGTATGCAATAAGTCTCATATGATGGCACGCATAATGTTCTACAAGGCAAAAAAGATTGTATTAAAGAAAAATTATATTCATCAGGATGAAATGTTCCAAAGTTGAAAGAAGCAATGTCCAAGCATCATGTATACGCATGTAATCTATCATATGTGTAATTTTAGAGTAAACAGGGAAAATATTTTGCAATATTTCATAAGTATCAATTATGATCAGCAACTAATGGTTTACTATCAATTTAAAGATATATTTAGTAAAAAAAAGAACATTATAATGTTTTTTAAAGAATTTCTCCTTCATAATCTCCAGCAAGGGCATCATTCATGCCTTCATCAACAAGCATTGAGTTATCAACCTTTTGGCTGAACTTTCTTGAGAATTTCTTGAAGCAAAAGATCAAAATCAAAATAATCAAAGCAACACAAACGAAAAGTCCAAGAACTCCAATAGCTATTCTTCCATATTTAAGTGTTGAACTTGGTGTGGCTGTAAACTTCTCAGTTGGAACGAAAACTGTTGATGAGCTGATTTCTGTCGTTGGAGGAACAGTTATTGGCTTTTCCTTGGAAGCAGTGATATTTGCGTATATGTTATTATTGTTTTCATACACTTTCGAAGAGAAATACAAGCTAGATTCTTCAGGAATTTTGAGATGTACGAAAACAGACTTCGCAAAGCCACCTGCGACCAAAGGAACTATTGCAGTAAATTCTTGGCCATGTTCTTTGAGGTATTCAGCTGAAATTGTCAAATCGAAATCGATTCTTTTTGGAAAAACCGAATTTTTAGAGATATCCAAGCCGATTTCGGATGAATTTATGCTCTTTGCTATGGAAATATTGGTATTTCTTAGGTAAGAATTAATAAATGTCAATTTTCCATCCAAAATCAGCTGAATTTCTGGGAAATTCATGTTCATTATTGTTGCGTCTGTATCAGAGTGTGTGACTAAGTCCGAAATTTCACATGAATAGTTTCCTGGACCTGTAATTGAACTTGATGAGTCCAAATTCAGGGAAACTAGTTCGATTTCTGGGTTGCTTTTAGTGCCAATGACCATATTGACTCCTTCCAAGTGTTGTGGAGTGATTGTTGTCTGTTTATTTCCTGACAAAACCAAATTTGTCAAATCTGAAAGGAAAGAAACAGGAATATTGCCTGTTTGGACAGTAATTACATTCTTTGCATAGCAATGGGCAATGGATTGACCAATGTTTTGGCTTCCTTCGCCTTCAAAATTGAGAATAAAATCTTCTCCATATAATTTAAGGGGAACTGAGAAATCTTGGACGCTATTGAGAGCAACAGTGACAGTAATACCATGTTTGCAAACAAAAGCAACATCCTGTTCATAGGAAATCTCAAAATTAAAATTCGAAATTTTCAAATTCGATTTTGAAAGTGTGATTGTTGCTGATTCTTCAAGTACTAAATGTACCAATACGAGTTCCTTGTACGACTTGTAGTATTTCGCAGGGATTTCGATGATAATATCATCACAAAAAGAAATCGCACTGTGATTGAACAAAGACTCATCCTCAAATTTAATATAAGGGACATGGAGTGCTCCTGCACTGTCTGTTGGAATGAATTCAATGTTTACACCGGAAAATGTAATCTTGGAAACGAAGGAATTCAAATTTTCTGTAAGAGGGAACTTTATATTTGGTTTCTGTGTGTTTTCTGATAAGATTCTGAGCTCAATTGGCTTTGTAAGGATATCAAATTTAATTTCTTGGTCGTTTTCAAAGAAAATTGTAACCCTTGAGGCATTCTCGATAAGTGGCTTTAATTCTTCGATGCTTTGGATCTGAGTTCCTTGGCTACAACTGCCAAAACAAAAAGATAAATCAGAATTTTCCGGAAATTCAGTCAAAACCACTCCAAAAGTGCCAAAATCGTTGTTATTTACGACAGGCTTCAAAAGGGAGAAGTCTTGGCTGTATCCAGAGACATTAGATAATAAAATGAAATTTTGCTTCTGATTAAAGTGACAAGGCATTGTAATTAAGTTAAATGTCTTTCCCTTAACCATATCTTCTGGGTTTCGTTCTTTCAAATCGTAATTTAAGTAAATTACGAAAGAATTCGTGAAACTCGTGATTTCATCGAACACAACTGTTGTTTCATTGATGAAATCAACATTGAAGATGAATTTTTGGGCACTGGAAATGTCAATTTTTCCAATATGAACTGAAGATTTTTCTACAACGAAATCTGGATATCCTGAGACAGTTATTGAACTAGATATGATCTGTTCATTAGTGTTAATGTTATCTAAAGTGATTTTATTGACATTTAGAATCAAATCATCGTCAGACCTGATTTTTCCATCTGAAATGAAGGAAATTTCATCAACAAAGCATCGTGGGATTCCGCTTTCAACAGATCCGTATGTAAAAGTCAATACTCCATTAGTTTCGAGACTTAATTTGTTAATATTTGCAAATTCTCCTTTTATTTCGCAAGAGTTGAAAACTTGGAGGTTTATTGACTTCTTTGTAGTCTTAAATTCAATTGTTGACTCTCCTGGTGTTTGTATTGTTGGGAAATTCGTGAAATCTCCTGTTGGTTCGTTAACAACCAATTTTGAGTGGTCGCTCAAGCTCAGAATTATATTATCTGAATTTTTATTGGACTGTTGTGTATAAGAAATCGTGTAATTTTGAGTATCGTGAAGAAAAGTTATTTTTGGCTTTACATTGGTCATGATTACGTTTTCTTGGCCAAATCTAAGTAGTATGGAATCATCACGACTGAATAGTTCTGAATCTTGGTTAAATGCGTAGAAAAATGCTTCGCAATTTGAATTATTCAGATTAATTACGGCAAATTTCGGATGTAAGCAGCTGATGTATAGGATTTGAGTTACTTGTACAGAAAGGAATGCGGCATATGCTTCTAAATCACCAACAAAAATGTTTGTATTGATAGAAATGTGTTTTAATTCGTAATGGCAGTCTTCCGCTTTATAAGAATAAAATTCTACTGGTTTCTGATAGTTTTTTGTCGTAAAAGTGAACGTACAGTTAGAAATACTAAATGATTTAAAAATATGATGGTTTGTGATATCAAAAGAGACAAAAGAATCATAGCCAACGACTTCTAGGCTCTGAATTTCAGGGCTGATTTCTTCAAATGTTGCGGCATACTTTTCTGAACTAATAACTTCAAGATAAATACTTTCTTTGGTATAATTATTGATTTCACTGGATGAATTTAGTTGAATAGTATCTTTTGAACACTCTCGAAGAGTTTCGTTCGTTCGAAGGCAGAGCCTTGAACAGATAATGCTGAATGCGAAAAACATTTATGAAATTTCTGAGAAATAAAAACATAAAAAACACTCTCTTTTAATATCATTTGTTTAATCTAAACCTTAAAAAGTGCTATTTTTTTAAATCTCACTCATTAACATTCAAATGATAAGAGAATTGAAGCTCTTCTTTGCACTCATATGAAATTTGATTTATCTGTCATTATTGATTTACGTCATTTTGCTTAGCTATGAAAATATCAATTTTTCCCAATAGATGCCTAAATATGGTGTGGCAAATTCAGAATTTGTCGATTTACATGGAATAAATGGTGGTGCAATTTACTATTATGTAGAAAATAATTTCTCCTTATATCATTTACGATATTCAATTTTCATTTGTTGTTCATCAACAGAAAATGGCGGTGCAATTTACATTATAGGTCCTCAAGTCAAAGTCAACAATGTATGTGGATACATGTGCCTAACAAAATTATCTGGATCATTTGCCTATACGGATACATCTAATTTAGTTAGTGTTAAACATATATATGAACCAGTTTCAATTACTAAATGTGGGAACTATTCAGATAGCCGTATATCATGTATGTATAAAGGAAATCAGAATCATCGAGATTTAAATTCAACTTTTAATCATGGATCATATTATGGCTCATTTGCTATGGAACCATTCAATAGTAATGGGCATTTGTCTGGCAAATACGTGCAGTGTTTAAATAATAGCGGTATGATTATGGTAAATTTTTATCTTGGCTTGAGTGAAGTTTTAAATTTTGTTTTCAAATTTAATGATGCCTCTTTTTCTTTAATAAGATCTGATTATGGATCAGCAATTGGGAATAATTCTTTTTTCGAAGATAACACTGAAGGTTGCTATCTTTTCTCTACAGAAAATGACGGAATTTTGACATCATATAATTGTTGTTTTATTGGAAGTAATACCACCTGTGGAAATGTTCAAATATACGAGAGTATATCAACATATATTCAAACGCATTTACGTCTGAAATATGAATTATGCGCCTATCAAAATAAAATCACCAATTTATGCTATTCATTTGCTAAATTTAATGTTTTTATGTTATTTATCATTAATATTTCATAAAGATATTATTTGTTTCATCTTTAATTTTCTTTATTTTGCACTATGAGAGATGGGAATTCATCCACTATTTCTCCTGATGGAAACCAAGAATAGAATTAGTAAAGCATATTTCCGATGCATACAAGTCTATGTGGTTACATATTGGTATAGGCAGTATCCTATTAAATGATTCGAACAGCAAGATTGAGACTCATGAAATTTCCTCTAATTGAATACTCTCTCAAAATTGAGAGTGAATGCAATTGATTTGTAATTTAAAAAAAATAAGCTTATGATATTAGCATTACGAATATTGAGAAAACAGCTCAATCGATGAATTTATAGGTGAAGTGTCAGAATGTGTTGGAATTTTTTATATGTTGTCAAAAGGAGGTGCAGGTCAAAGCGTACAACAGCTTGTCAATAATTTTGAGAATCGCTTAAAAATCCTTAACGGAGAGCTCCCGAATTTCAACAATCCATCCAAAAGAAAGACAATTCAAGCACATTTCAATTATATTGACAGTCTCCAAGACCAAATTGCTCCACAGATAGCTAACACTCCACAAGATGTCCAAGAAAAATACGAAAGATTATGCCGAGAATACAAACAAATTACGAATCAATTCAATTTGCAAGATGATCCGGATAAGCAGCTGAAGCAATCATCTCCTCAGTCTTCAAACGCTAATGGAGCAAATTCGCAATCCATTATTACAAGTAATTCAAATGAAGTCGATAATTATGCGGACGAAACTCAAGAAATTGTTAAATGGATCTAAGAGTTTCAAATAAGTTTAAAAAAATATGATCGGAAATTTATTCAAAAAAATATCACAATGATCGTATTGTCAATTTTCAAAAATTTTATAATGGAAAATATATAAATAAACTGTTTATCAGTCTATGTGCAAAAATTTTAGTTCATAAAAACCTTAGAATTTGAGAGCATTTGAATACATAATATTTTATTGTAATGATTTTATTGTTTCTAGCTTCTCTAGTAAATTCAAAACAAGTCCAAGATGCTGGATCATACACAGACTTTATTGAAAGCTCACTAACTCTAACATTTAATCCGAAGTCGAATCGAGAAAATTTTCTTATCATAACAAATCCAAACGAATTCAAAAGTGGGAACAAATCTATAAGTTCTATATATAGAAACCCAACAGAGCTTACTTTCAATGGTTCAAATCAAGAAATTCATTATATTTATTTAACATTACTCAAAGATTGTGACTACATTGATATAGTAGTTAATGCAGGACCTAATAATAAGATTACATTGAAGGCAAGCGACTTATCCGTAAAGTCTCAATATTGTTTAGCGTTTGTAAACCAAAATGAACAGGATTATACAGTTTTCAGATCAGACGAAACAAATCCTTCAGATAAACTGTATGTTTCTTCATCATTGACGATGGAAAATGGTGGAAGCAAACAAAATGTTAACAAGGAATTAATAATTAAAAATCAGAACGCTGTTATCCTGTCATTTATTACTAATTCCAAGTCTGTTGATGATGGCACGGAGATTGGCATTACAAAATTCGAAGGACAAAAATCAAATTACTCAATTAAGTATTATTACGTTCCTGAGTACAAAAACGTGTTTTACTCTTCATCACCTGTTATTTCCAGCCAGATTAAGTTCGAATATGGTCCAAGAGAAATAAAATTAACAAAAGATCCCCAAATAATCGAAATTCCATCAGGAACTTATCTAACATTTAGTGATTCTGACCAATCATGCAAAGGAAGAGCTTTCTCAGGCCTCAATACCATTGATTTTCTCGGATATACAAAGATTGTTGCTATTTCTTTCATTTCTAATGGATATATCGAGCTCTGGTCATCATCTGATGATAAATGCAAAGAAATACATTACGTTGCATTCAAAAATTCCTCAATTTCAAGTTGCGATGAAGTTATTACTATAATTGGCCAAGTTTCATACAAATCGAAGTTCTCACCATTCACAAATTGTTGTGTTTACGCGGGAATTTCGAAAGGAAAAATTTCGATTTCGGATACAGATAAATCTGCGAAATTCTACAAATCCGATGGTACTCCGTATCAATATAGGAAGGATGATGCAACAATACCTCTCCAACTTGTCATTTCTACCAAAGCATATGATGACAAAATCAAATTTAAAGTCAAAGACAAAGAAAGCAACAAAGAGATAGTTATTAGGAATGGCAGACAGAACTACATGTCATACAGTATATCAGAAGATTCTATTGTCAATACGAATGCTTTAATTGGAGATAATGATGATAATTTTGATTTTGATGGAATTTCTATTTCAAAAATCATTGCAATTATTATTGGATTCACAGTGTTTATTGTTGTATTGGGAACTGTGTTTATTGTTGTGTTTATTTGTACATTTACTTATTGCTGCAAGAGAAAATCAGAAAACTCTGATACAACAACATCTTCTGTCACTCAGACACATGTTCCATTGAGTTTGTTTGTTTGTTTTTTTATAAATAAAGCTTTACTCCCTTCGAAATTTTGTTCAATGTGTTCATTCTATACTTAGTGATCTATGTATGCATTTTCTATAGGTAATATCTAGTAAAATTCATCATATCATTATGAATAAAGTGTTCAAAACCTCTCTATAATCAAAAATGATTTTTACATGGAGCTTAAAGAGATAATTATCTTAGTTTGAATACATAGGCGCTATTTACTGTATTGGACTGCCTATCATGATGAATAAGCAGACTGAGAAATGAAATTGCTCATTCATAAAAATATGCATTCTTTCAAATAGATCCATCATGTTCATGTTCTAAAAATTGAACACGATCAATAATTGTGGATGAAATTGTATGAGTATAAATATCCTCTGGAAAAATCAAAAATAATTTACCACATCCCCTTTTGTAATCATTTAACATGCTTTGTTTATGAATATAACTAACTCAATTAATCATGAAACATCGTAATTTCTTCAATAAAAATTATTAAGTATTGAGTAATTGCTTGAAAATGTAAATTTGTACTTTCCATGCTTGGTGGTGCTTCGGCGGATGATCCTATTCCTTTTTCTTTCTACATCATATACGATCTCCGGTTGAGTTAAAGGTTTTGAAATAAAACTCTCAAAATTAGATGTATAGCATAAAATCATTCTAAATGTGCATTTTCGATTTGGAATTTTTATCTCGAAAGAAAAGGAAATAAAATAAATTTTGCATATATTTTTGTTAAAATTTGATTTTTAAATAATTTTTGGAAAGTTGGAAATCGATAAATAGAATGTAATATAGGTAATGAATCTATTTTTATCTCCGAAATGGTAGTTCATCAATAATGTATAATGATCTGAAATTGAGAATCAAAAAGTGGAAAATTATTAATCATTTCTGATATATATCTAAAATGTTAAGGATGTCAATTTGGAAGAAAAGTGAGAAAATTCCTAAAATGCTAAAAATGAATTTTCCAAACGTGCTTTTTTATCTCATTTTTTTGATTTTGAAAAAATTTGGAGAGAAGAACTCTTCGTTTTTGAATTTTATCACGATGGTTTTAAAGTATATTAGACACATGTAGGGCTGTACAAAATCGAGAAAAACATTGCCGTGCGGTAATATAGGGTCAAAAAAATCGCGCCTCGGCGGCTCCGCCGCCTCGGCACTATTAAGTGCACATTATATTTAATATGTCCTTCTTTTTTTTCTTTTTTCTTCTTCTTCTTTTCCTTTCCTTCTTCCTCTCCTTCCTCTTCTTTCCTTCTCCTTCTCTTTTTACAACAACGTCGAAGATCTTCGAATTTGATTGTTGGAAAAGCATCTATAGATGGAGGAATCATAGCAAAACAACTCTAATGGGTTTACCATCATCTACTTGTATGTAGATGTTTGGGAAATTGTCTTGTTAATCGATTTTCGAGATGACTTTCAAATGCTATCATCAAATGACAAACAAGTCTAAGATTTCTCGACAATACATCAAATCATGATGTTTGTAAGTGCGATGAGATTAGAGTTTTTGAAGGAATGACAAGAGAAGTAGGGAAGCTCGGCATTCGCCGAGCAAATTAAAAATTAACGTATGGATTAAATTTTAAGAGGAATTCAATTTTAGTTACGGGTTGTTCAAATATTGATTAATATAAATTTATTAATAAGAATAAACAATTTTTGTTTTTGAATTTATTCAATTTATAGCTTTACATATAGTTTCAAAATTGTACAACTATGATTATTTCAACAAAAAATATCTTACTTTTTCACTTCACTTTCACTCTCACTTTTTCCGTAATTCAAATTTCAACATTATGTATTTTAATTCCTTATAGTATAAAAAAAGGGTAGTGGGGCCTCCAGGCACTTCGTGCCCTCTAGCCCTGAAGATGTTTAGTATAAATGAAGTTTATATTCGGAGGACTCTTCTTCTTCCTCCATTGCTTCTGGGAAGAAGCCTTCTTCTGGGTCGAAAATATTATATAATGTGTCGCTTTTCACAAATTATATATGTTTTCATGCTTTGTCACTTTTCTGTCACTTTTCAGGAAAAAACATTTTTATTATTATATATAAATGAATTTTACAAAACCTCCGTTACCGTTCTTTGGAAATAAGAGTAGATGTAAAGATATTCTATTGAGAGAACTTAAGAAACTACCGAATGGTCTAACATTTGTAGATTTGTTCGGTGGAAGTTTCTATATATCCCATTTGTGCCATATAATATTCCCAGACTCAAAGATTATATGCAATGACTTCGACAACTATATGGACCGTCTCAAACATATTCCAGACACAAACAACATATTGAAAGAGTTAAAAGAAAAGATACCTATAGGTAAGATGGAACGTATACCATTAGATAAGAAAAATACTGTCAGAGAGGTTTTGAAAAAAGCAGAATATATAGACTGGGATAGTATATCTGCTAGACTATTATATAGTGGTGCTATAAGAGTTCATGACATTGAAACACTTATGTCAAAAGTTTTATATCTTAACTATACAAATGTTTTCAAAGAGGACATAGAAAAATATATTGAGGGTATAGAGTTTGTGAGATGTCATTGGACAGATTTGTATGAAAAATATAAAGACAAGGAAAATGTTTTCTTTATAGTGGACCCGCCGTTCTATAACACATGGGATTTTCAATACCAAGTAGACTGGACTTTGAGAGACTCTTTAGAAACTTTAGACGTTTTACATAACCATCCATGCTTTTACTTTACATCCGATAAAAGTGGTTTGGAAACCGTTATGAGATGGTTAGAGGACATACATGACTATGAGTTTATATATGACAAGATAGAATATGAGAGAGGTCCTATAAACCGGAGAAAGTGTCATAACAAAGAAATTTTATTGGTAAGTAAATGTGGTTTGAAATAGGACTACTTGTTTTAGGTTTTTTCCATTGTGTCATTTACTTATTTGACGTGGCAGAAAAGTACAGAGAATATGAAGATGAACCAATGCCTGCAAATGTTCAGTATATGTACTCGTAAGAGATATTTTTATCTAATATTAAATGGACGCACAGAACTTAGCGAATGCACAGCAACCTGGACAACCAAACCCAGAGAATATTCCAAATGAAGTTAGAATACAAACTGCAATGGCAAACTATGGTCAAGTGCCAACAGATGTACAAATGCAAACTGCCATGTCAAATGACGCTGCGTTAGGTTTGCCACCATGGTATGCAAATATGAGATGGAAAGAGTTTTATACAAACCCTGAAGTGGGATATAAACAACTTTATGCAGATGACGCGAACACAGGAGTTGACCCAGAATATGTTTTCTACCAGAGGAGAAACAGAATGTATGAGCTCCAGTTAAAGAATGCTATGGAACTCAACAGGAAACGTAAGAGACTAGGCGGACATTAGATTTTTACATATAGTAAAATGGGTTTCTTCAGTAAGATAGGAAACTTCTTTCGAAATGTTGGAAGAGGTATATGGAATGGAATAAAATCTGTCGGAAGAGGAATTTGGAACGGAGTCAAAAATATTGGTAAAAGAGTAGGTCAGTTCGTTGGTATTATACCTAAAGACCCTGAACCAGAAGAACAAGCTCCTGTTATACAACAGCCTGAACCTGCACCACAGTCTAGTTGGCAACCAAATCCAACACCTCAACCGTATTAAAATTATATTTTTACCGTTCGATAGTAGTTGTATATGAAACTAAGTTCTAAGTAAAACGCGTGGTATAATGGAATTATTCTCTTTCTTCCATCTGTAGTAAACCATACTTGAAAGTCTGAAATACTTCCACTCGGTGGTTCATATAACTTTGTAGGTTTTTCGTAAAAGTCATTTGCCAAGCATAAGAAAGAGTTTTGGGCGCCAGAAAATGAAGCATGAACAATAATAGCAGCTGGGTCGAAAACATCTTTAAATAAATATGGTTCATCTCTTGCATATCGACTGTAAATATTTGCTAAAGGAAGTTCGACTTTCTGATTTAACATTCTTTGCAAATAATACCATGACATTGCAGTGAATTCTGTATATATTTGTTCGTCTTTCTTTGGATTGTCTTCGTAGATTTGAAATGACACTTGTGAATTTTGTTTGTCATATACAATTCTCACATAAAGTGTGCTCTCGGTATTTGCATATTCATCAGCATATTTTGCATAACATGAATTTATTTTATCTTCTATATTTTTAACGCAGTCTGTAGAGAAGATGAAAGGTCAACTTGTATTAGCTCAATTTCTTCCCACATTTTTCGTTTCCCTTCAGATATATAATCTATATGAAACCTTACAATAAATGGAAAACTTTTATCTTCTACAGACACAAACTTCATTCTACGAAAGCCAATAGCTTTTGTGACAGATGGGTCTCTTAGCCATCTTAATGGGTAGTCAAAACGATAGCCTTCATGCTTTACGGTCTCTGTCTCAAACTTTTGACCGACATTAGTAAAAAGTTCATCTAATGGTTTAGTTGTAGCAACTCTTGAATTTTCTTTTTCTATTGGAAGCATATTTTATCTAGAATAAAAATGTCAAATGAAACAGCGTCTATGAGAGAAATACAACACAACCGACAACTCATTATACAAGCTCTAAATAAGAACACAACAAACTTTTCAAACTATTCTAAGATATCTGAGTCATTGAAAGAAGGAAACTTAAAACTGACATTAAACCCAATGACAGATGAGTTTCTGTTTCAAGACAATAAGAACCATACTGTCTGTATAAATCCAACAAAAGGAACTTTAAACGAGAAACCTATAAATGAACTTCTTTTGAAAGCAGATGTTGGCAACAAAGCTGACAAAGAATATGTAGACGATGCAATAGCAAAAGAAGAAGAAAGAGCTAACAAAGCTTATGCAACAAAAGAACATACTCATCCTGAACTAGCAGACAAAACATATGTTGACAATAAAATGTCAAGTGAAGTGACAAGAGCTGAAAACGAATATTCTAAAAAGACTCATACACATACCATTGCAAATATTGCAAACTTACAAGAAACCTTAAACAGGAAAAGTACCGTTGGACATACACATACCATTGCAAATATTGCAAACTT